TATATATATATATATAAAACTATCTAGTTTGTAATAAACAAATATTATTCTAAAACTGTGTTCTTACCACTACCAATAGATTATTATACTTATAAATCATATTCTAAGAACAAAAAGTAAATAATTGTTATTACTTCTTGTAAATATTTATTTATATAAAGTAGTATCTACAAACGTGCTGTTTGAATATTCTAAAATAACACTTTGCCCATCTATAAGTTCCGAATCTTCAAACAATTTTATTAATAGCGTGTTCATTTCGTTACATATTAGTGCACCAGTTGTATGATGAAATAATTGTAATTTAAATGCTCCTGCTACATTATTGTTGTTAGATATTTTTAATATATTAGCTATTGAATCAATAGCTTTCCCAATTGTCCAATTCATGTTCACATAAATACCTTTAGACGGTCCTATATGTTTGTTAGATACTGTAGTAGGAAGGTATACAAGAAAATAACATCTTTCATTCATTGGTACGTTTTTTGGACCAACAGCAGAACCTTTTATACGCATAAGCCTTACCTAATTAAATAATAATTAAATACATTAATATATAATATTTCTTTTTAAATATTTCATTGACATATAACTTCATTTTAAAATTTTATAACATATTTGGATATACTGTCAAGGATATAGTATCAAGAAAGCAAAATTTTTTGTTCAAATTTGTTATTTCAGAGATATTTTGGATCACTGAAATTGAAAATCTAAATCATTTTTCACAGAAATGAACAATTGGCTGCAATTTGCTTCACAACAAATTTTGTTTCCCAAATACTATAGTATTATATACAGCTCATACTTTATTAGCCATTGTAGTATTCTTGGATTTCTTCAAAGTATCTGAAATTTCTTGATCTACTATAGCTTTTGCTTCAGCAAATTGTTTTTTTGGTATTTGCCATTTTTTTAATTTTGTTGTTTTTTCTTCATTAGTATATTCTAAACACCCATGATATCTATGTTGTAGACAAAAGTGTTTCTTACATTTGATACATTGCATTTCAATAGGTGAAGTTTCTTTACAAGATTCATCTGAACATTTATAATTTGGTGCCTTTATTTTAGTGTATGTAATTTTATCTTTGAAACCTAAACATTTATGAGAACCTAAATGAAAATGCTCTTTGCAAAATAAATCATGGCAATGATTGCATTCAAATGGTAAAAAATTTAATTGTTTGCAATCTTTGATCGAACATCTCTCTCCAAGATTTGGAAACTCCATTTTCAAATCTAGAAAATATATATAGTCTATGAGTGGAAGAAGAATAACAAATAAATTACTAATGCATTATTCATATCTAGTCCTTATACATATTAAGTTATTACCTACATTTAATTATGAGATGGTGTTGGTGAATGTAAATGATTTTCACTGAGAGTTCCTAAAGCTAGATTATTCCACTTTTGTTCTAATTCTTTCAATGTCATATGAGAATCTCCATTGTCACTTTCAGGGTCAGGTAATTCTTGATTTGGTACTACAATATCGTCAATAGGCAAACGTTCTTTGTGCCAAATCTCATCAATTAAATCTAATAATCTACCGTCTCTGCACACTTGACTGTCCATACCGCAAAATATTTTTTCTTATTTGTATTAACACAAAAAAAAATATAATTCGAAAATAAAAAATATCATTCGATTACTAATTACAACAACATTAAACATTGAAAAAATTTTACCATTATTACAGCATAACCATTAACTAGAGATAGAATAGATCTGACATTTAATATGTTTTTATTTTCGTGTCATATACGACATTATCGACTCAGTCAATTACAAACACGAGATACATAGTAGAACAAAATACTTTACAAGTGTAAACGAAATATAGAATTCTATATGTCTGTATTATGGTACAATTGATTGAAACAATGATTCCTTGCAAAATTTATTACATGTATTTTTGATATGATATATTTCTCAATTTTAATTTACATTATAACTGCATAATCGCGAGAACATTTGTGTTTTATTTCATAAACGAAAGAGACAAGGCAGAAGAGGATGATAAATTAAAATACTCCCAACCTAAATTTTACGCGAATGTCTATACTTGTAATAATCCGTCTATATTGTCGATTTATTTTCTCAAATTTATGAAATACAATGAATTACGCAGACGCGTAATGATTTGTATTGGCGCGCAATGGTTGCGTTGCGCGGTAGTTAGAATCGCTCGAACAGTTGAATATCGAAATACTCGGAAATGCGCGTAAATATGCAAACAATTGTTATTTCTTTATTGAAGACAAGAGCTGTATATATAAAACTAACAGGTAATAAAAAAGTAGAAAACCTAGGGATTCATTATTCTCAGATTAACAGTTATCAACGAAGAAAACAGAACAGATAACAAAATATGTTAACCTTGTCAACGATTTCCATTGAAGATCCTTTTATAGTTACTAGTAGTCGGTAAATTGCGAGAGAGATATAAGAAACACTTTAATTTTTGTCGAAGTCAAAAATGTTTATTTCAAAACATACGAAGACCCATATGATTTTATTCTATCTATTCTATCTATAAATCTATTTTAATCTTAGTTAATGATACAAGATTTTATCGATATTTTTCTTAACGATTACACTTATTCAAGAAATTTTGAATCTTATCAATAAGTTCTAACTTAGCAGTAGTTTAGTCCTTTGGTACACAATTTAATTATACAGATGCGATCTACGTGTTGGGTTTTTTCACGATTTGGTCGTTTGTTATGCGTATTATCATTCGCTGTAGTCAGCTCATTGTCATTTTTCGTAATAAAAAATTATTTTCTTTTAGTCTTGTATCAATCGTCTTGTTTTTTATTTTCAGCAGACAATCGATTTGTATCATGTTTTCTGCCTATTTCCCTGCAAACACCTTCTTTGATATCACATGACAGTCCATCGGTGCAAGGACAAAGAATGTAATGGACATTCTTTAATGTGAGTTCAGAACCATCTGGATATCCAACGGTCATGTCAATCGTTGAAGCACTAGCTGGTCTACATATGTCTCCTTCTTCTTGCATAGGTCTGCATTGTGGTATACTATATCTTATTGGCCCTAAAATACCATGTCACATCACTAAGATTTCTTTTTTTAAACTAATAATTATCTTTGATTCCTTCATTAATATTTTATTAAGAAGCGATAAATATACCTATAGTGCAACAATAGCCTGGTTGACATTCTGAATTACTTTGACAATATGTATAATTCAGTTCATTAGCTTGTGTGTTGCAGGGACATGCCAATGCGAATAAAAAAACAGAAAGCACAAAAATTGGCGTCATCATTGTTATTTTTGCTCGCTGACTCCTGCAACGAAAATACACTTTTTATATTTTCTTTTATGCCTCTTGCGATAATTTCAATATTACGCACAAGTCCTGTAAAAATAATTATCTACAAGATCGACTGGATTTTTCTTTTTTTTTTGTAAAATATAAAATGTTACGTAGAATTGTCTTATACGGAGCGATCTTTGTCAGAAGTTTATGAGTAATCATACGTTGACTATAAACGTAGATTGGAAAATGTACTATGCTTAACGCTTGTTTTAATTTTAATGTTCCGGAGATATCGTATGTATTACACAACTTGATTACTACGATTTTTCTTTAATTTCTGATAAAATATAGTTACAATGAACAACTATATAGTTACAATGAACAGTGTAATAAAACAAATTGTTTTGGAAAAGAATTTCGTAATTAATGCGATACATCTAAATTTAAAGCATATAATTACGAGCGATTTGAAATTTAAATTCAAAATAATAACAATGGAATTGGAATTTTTCAAACGGAATTCAAGTCGATTAGAGCATAAGTTTTGATTTGATAATATAGTTAAGATAATATAAAAAAAAGGAAGAATTATATATAGTTATAGTAAAAAATTTTAATATGAATGTATCAGTTAAATTCAGAATTTAACGCACACAATGAATAATTTTTTAAATAATTTCTTTTAATTAAAAAAATTTTATAAATTTTAAAGATATAGGGACTCTATAATTACTACACGTGTGCAAATATATCATCATTTATAACCACTTCTAATTAATCTCAAATGCGTGTATTTTTTCTTACTCTTTCTTCTTTTCTTCGTTTAAAAAGACTTTTAATTCCGAAACTGTATGTATAAATATACGTGCACACTTACAAATTTTGCATGCTGCCTGCAAACTCGGCAAACACTTGTTCACATTTGATCGGATAAACTGGTGAGTCTGTTTTTATATCAACGCTTCCACCACTTTTTTTCCTCTAAACAAATGATTCGCGCGCATTTTTTATCGAAATAGAATTTTCATTCAACACGTTTTCATACACATCAAATTGCTTATATTACTCTGAAAATGCTATTTTATAAACAATAATTTATAAATAAAAGAAAAAGTAATTTATCGATAAAATAGTTCATACATGGCATTATTAAAAAATTACGCAGTAGATTTCGTGGTTAAATTCTATGATTTCTTTGATAAATATTTAATATGGAATGAATCATATAATGCTTTTGAGACGTAAATGATAAATGTAATAAAGGATCATCCGTTTATAATTGCACTATTACGCAATCAATTCAATGGAAATTCCGTGATGTGAGATCGCATCAGATTCTGAAAATGTACATGTAAGATTGAGAATTGATGGTATTATTGTTTCATGTTAATACGACGATTAAATACTGACAGCTTGATTTATATTTGTTAAAAACAAATTCGATTTTCTCTCATGTTTTTCAATTGAATGGAGATAGGTAAACCTTGCAGGTTCATCTTCTAAACAACTATTAAGTATTTTCTAATCTTTGATTATTCATTTCTTAGTTTATATTAATAGTTGTGGAACCAGTATTTTCTCTAAATAATTCATCTGCGGATATTAGCGATTGGATAAGTTGGATTCGGTCACAAACGGTTTCGATGTATTTCGATTTTTCTCCGCTAGATGTTCTTACTACCGTTAAACACAGTTTCTTATTACCAAAAACTATCGCTTTCTATAGATAGAATACGTGAGAGAGAAACTGGAAATAACCTTATATCCGATGTAAAAGGGTTACGATGTTTTCAGTTTTCTGGGCTTATAACTATTTATAAAATGAGCTATTTCATTATGTTCTATTTAAAATGGTCGAATGCACGTTAACGACATTAAACGGAAAATAATTCATTGCTGTGTCTTTCAGTATTAATTTTAACACTTTGCCAAGAAATTACAAATTCCGTGATGGAACAAATACCTTTGTGAAATTGATGATCCCACCTTTATTTTAAATTTTTCATCAATTTAATTATGGTAATTATTTAAAGGTTACAACATGGTAATGTTTAAAGATTCTGTATTCTAAATAATTCATTGAATGTTTTAGGCTCTCTTAGGTGCTCAGTTAGTTATAACACTGATTATGGTCAGTGTTATTCAAAAAGTAACTCCGCATTTTTCTTTGGCAAGATGGATTTTATGTTCTACTGGGTAATCTTTTAAACAATGCGATGCACTAACTATATGACAATTAATATAAGACATGCCAATTTAATAGGTTGACACGTTACTTATATCCAACTGATCAGCAGCTTAGAACTCTTGCTGGTGTGCCTAAAGAGAAACCTAAAAAAGGTAAACATACAGAGAATGGGAAAGTTGGAGATGTGTTTCATGTTCCTAGAAGTTTGGATATTACGCTTGAAAGTGCTAAAATAACTACGTTAGATGTAATGCATTTAAAATATTATACAGAGTATCAGTGGTTATTAGATTTTTCTATTTATGCTACTGCGGTTTATATCATGACAGAGGTTGGTAATTATAGTTTCTTCTCTTTTATACTTTTATTTCTAAAATACTTTGTAGCTATATTTATTTCCTATTTCACAGATATATAATTATTTATATCCAATTAAAGACGAAATTAATCTAAGTATGCTTTGGTGCTCACTAGTTCTGGGTTTTGCATTGTATCCTTTTTATAATTGATTTATATTATTGTCAAAGTACATAATTGCTTTTAAAGATATTTTCCTTATCTAATACATAGCAAAGTATTACTTTCTCTTTGGGTGCAATATTTTAAGGGAGAGGAGAGTATAGGTGAAAGGTCTACATGTATTGTAACTGGATTTGCTTATCTTCTTATAGCTATGATGGTTCTTATTGTTGATGAAAACAATCTTGAAATTGGATTAGATAAAGCTTATGCAAGTTTTAATCATAGCGCATCCCTTTTTTTAGACAACCAAGGTCTTTCTTCCACGTAAGTTTAAGCACTCAAAAATATATGCTCAACTCATTATATTTTTATTTTATTCTAATAAAATAATAAAATAATAAAACAATTTTTCTTTTATAGGGGACCAGCATCAAAAATTGTAGTAAAATTTTTCCTTGCTTTATGGTGTGGTTTACTTGGTTCTTTGTTCACTTTCCCAGGATTGAGAGTGTCAAAAATGCATTGGGATGCATTAAGGTATGAATTATTACATAAATATTACATTTTTTTAAATCTTGCAATTATGCATTTTAATAAAAATGATATATTTCAGATATTATAAACATCAAAAGTTACTATTGTTAATAGCAAATATCAGTTATGCCTCTCCACTTTTATTAGTAAGTTTATGGATTAAGCCTGTAAGCAGAGATTATTTCACAGTCAGAATATTCAGTGGTATGAATGGACCATTGTAAGTTAAAAAATAATAATTTCTATAACGTACTTATCCATCCAAGTTTCTCTTTATAGATGCATGTTTACAGGATGACAACTTCAGCTTTTGAGAGTATGAGATTAATTGCAATTATTGTTGCAGTCTTGTTAAAATTTGTATTAATGCCAATGTATTTGCAATCATATCTCAATTTAGCTACGCAACGGTTAGAGAACCAAAAGAAAGAAGCTGGTAGAATTACAAATGTAGATCTACAGAAAAAGGTATTACAAATGATATATAATGTTCAATAAAGAAAAATATTAATTTTTTTTATAAATCATAATTATAATTCTTTCTTATAATTTATTTCAGATTGCTGCGGTATTCTACTATTTGTGTGTTGTGGCTTTACAGTTTATTGTTCCAATAATTATTTGTCTATTTTTTACATTCATGTATAAAACTTTAGGTAATACAAATAGTAATAAGAATATGTAATTGATCGCAAATATGATTTTGTAATTATTTTCGTTCGTTAGGTGGTTATACATGGGAAGGTCTTTTAAAAGGTTCGTCACTTGAGGAATGTCCAGCTGACGATCCACCAAAATCTTTATCAGATGTATTGAATAGCTACGATACCGAGAAAACTGTAGTGCAAACGGCGCAAGATTTTCAATTGGCTCTAAGTTCCTTAAAACAGGTAATAGTTGCAATGTAGTGGTTGTTAGATTTTTATTATTTAATATTTATTAAGAATATTTTTTATACAACAGATATTTACCATGGATGTATATAGGGGATTATTAGGTTTAGCAACATGGTGGAGTTGTTTTGCATTGTTTGCAACTACTGCTATGGGTATGTTTTATCAATCATACTTTTCTAGTATGTAAAAAAATACTATGGAAGGAAGTATTTGTTGTCATTTCGCACAAATTTCCGTCGTTAATTTGTTTATCAATATTAAACAACCATTGGATTATTTAATTATATCTTCAAAACCATTTTTTTTTTAAAAATGTACCTATGTCAAGGTACGCACAATACTGGCTGTCTAATGGAAATGTTAATATTAACTTTAAAAATTTTATAATATGCATAGCAATAAAAACCTTACAATTATTATATATGTAGATACTATGTCGAAATTATAAAATTTTTAATTGACAACTACGTTTTTGCATTTTGATCTTTTTATTAGATACTATATATAATGTTTAATATTTATATAAAAATTTAGGAGAACATTTTATTATATGATGTATTATAAATTTTTAAAAACAAAATGGAATTAAAAGTGTTTTACAATTAAAAATGTGATGAGTGTGACTCATAAATGAATCACTGCCAGTAAAATAATCTATTTAATATTCCACGAACGACTAAATGATTACAATTGTCTGCGTATCGGCTCGACTAGATGAAAGCGACTTTCATCGATAATGTTACGATTATAAGCGAATCAAACAAAAATATTTTACTGCCTTGTACGTATTCGCTTTAATAATATTTAATTAAAATCTTGTATATATTTCTGTACAAAGTGCTCATTAAAATTTTATGTACAATAATTAATAATTTTATTTGCTGATGTTGTAATCTTTTATAGTAATTGTAAGAATTTCAATGAAGTCCTTTTGCCTTTCTCTTTTGTTTTTTAAAAATTTAATTACTGTATATTGCATGACATTACGATATTCCGTAAAAGGGAAAACTATATCGAATGATTGTTATTCGTGAAATGTGACATCTCGATATCTCGGAGAAAGTGTGATTGTATGTACAAAAAATGTGTCGATGTCATGCTAGTCACGTATCAACCAGGCTGCTTCCGTGATATATAACTCCCCACAGAGTATCTTTCAGTGTCAGAATAGCTTGCTGATTTTCGTCGGTGATAATACTATTGTTTATTCTAGTGTGAAACTTAAAGTTTTTATAAAATTACACAAAATGTTGGTAAGTATTGCTATATTACTATTTTCATTGCATGTTTTAATGAAAGTTATTATTTTCAGAAACACATAGTACTTTTTTATGTTATGCTTCTTTCGGTATATGCCGAACCACCCATTCAAGGTGTAAAACCAACAAATGTACTCGGAACGTCTGATCAGCACGCATCTTTCAGCTTTGTTAGACCAGGTTTAACGCAAACAGCCTTCGCTTTTAGTGGCCCTAGTTCTCATCAATCATTCAGTTCCAGTATTGGAAATCCTCATTTGGCACAAAGAGTTCTCCCAAACGTTGCTAATGCACTTGCTTATAGAAATCCTGGCTTAGGTTTGTAGCATATTTAGAATATTAGATACTTTTAAAATTTAACTAGGACTGATGTATATTCACCACATTAGGAGTATTTCCTGTTGGTCCTGTCGCACATGGTTATGCAACTGCACCAGTTGCATCCACTTTTGTTTCTTCTGCACCTGCACCGCTATCTTATCAAGCTTCAGTTGATCCAACTACTGCACTGGCTTATCAACAGTTACAGCAATATCAACAACCCCAGTTATATAGTTATCCTGCAGCTAGTACATATCAAACACAATTAGCGCAATTACTTGCATTACGACAAGCTCAAGCTCAAGCTCAAGCTCAATCTCAAGAACACGTGCAAACACAAGCACAACAAGTAAGAATAATATGCTAAAACTACTTCGAGTTTCATATTGCATCAAATTTAAATATGATTTTCGTTTAATAGTAATCCTCTTCAGGTACCTGAACAGATTCAATTGCAGCAAGAGCAACAACAACAGCAAGTTCAGAACTTACTAGGAATTACTTATTCCGCAGCACCTTCGGTAGCCCGGGTAAAAGTTTCCGGAAATGGTTATAAATTTAATTTCTAAAACGTATGAAATCTCATTCAGATTAATCAAGTTATGTAAATTCAAGTGAGTTGAAACATTCCTTCAAGTTTATATAGTCGTCCGTATTAGCCACTTGATTTTAAGTTGCTTATCTTAATTAATTTGAATAAGATTCAATGCATTATACAATGTGTCCCATACTTTATACCTCTGCACATGTATTTTATTTATTTATTTATACCAATATGTACAATGGAAGCAAACATTTTTGTACGTTATAATAACTAAATAAATTGATCATAAGGATTCTAATCGTCTTTAGTTCTTTATATTACAGTTCTTTACGTTTATATTATTTCATATATTTTGTAGAACTACGTTATATAATAATTTTACTGAAGTTCAAAAAAAAAATTAAATTTCTTCAGGCCCCGGGGGGATTCGAACCCCCGATCTCCTGTTTACTAGACAGGCGCTTTAACCAGCTAAGCCACGGCGCCACATTTTGTTATCGTGTAATAGATATTTGATATACAAAATATTTTTTATAATATTTTTAATTCTCTAGAAGTCACGATTGATTTAATGATTGATACATATAAAATCTAATTTTAAATATCTTTAAATTGGTAATTATCGAATTTATATATATTCTAATTACATTTATATATATTTTATATTAATTCTCTAAACAATTAAAGATTTTTCTTATAAAAAATATAGTCATTTTGTAAAAATTAGTACTGCAGCATCGATTTTAAGTTATTATATCGATTAGATGCATCGTGACTTCTGAAGGAATTTTTACGATCGCAACGAATTAAATTACACTTTCTATTTACATATGGAAAGTAATAAATAACTGTAATGTTCTACTGAATGTTTCGGCGACACATAATACGATACATAAATGTTAATCTTCGTCGCTGCGCATTGCAATTATAAAATAATTGATTTTTGTGGTTTCCATTATTATGATATAATAATGGGAAGATGTTAATTTGATATATTGAAATTATATTATTGTAATAAAATATAAAAATATATTTTTGACCCCGACGTGATTTGAACACGCAACCTTCTGATCTGGAGTCAGACGCGCTACCGTTGCGCCACGGAGTCTGTGTTATCATCGATTTATTTAATACAGGATATATTCCCTTTGGTTCTTATATTAGAATATTCAATGTTAATATACAATTTGTATTGACATTAAATGAAATCAAATAAAATATATTATTATTATTGCAACAATTTTTGTAATAATTTATAATAATTAATACTACATATAGCGATTTTTTTATGTCATGAGTTAAATAGAACGTGATTTTAATATATGCTTTGTTCTAGACAGTAATTAAAATATAAATTTAATAAATTAAATAGTATCCGCTTTTTTAATATATATGTGGGTATTTTTAGAAAGAAAAAAAAAAGATTTTCTTGGGAAATATTCTTAACGATTGATCGTTTCAATACCGCATCCCATTAAAAGCACGTGATTCGTGCTCACATCCCGCATGCAAGCCTCGAATTATCCGAGAAACATATCTGCTAGGAAGCTACCTTTCTCTCTACGTTGAAAAGAGTTTCGCGCGGGTTGTCTCACAAAACTCCTCCTAGCATCAGGATATCATGCAACGATCGCAACGTATACCAGAGAATATGCTGTTACGATATTCCGTCATACCATGACTTTCGCCCGTGAGGAATTTTTTCAACAGGAACGCATGCAGCCAACAGTAATTTCATGACGCCACCGATAGAAGCGCTAGTGTAAGCATTGACTTGTGTATGTGTGTATACGCATATTCCTATATATTTTAAACTTCACTACGTACAAACAAATCCCCCACCATTGTTCCGAATCACATGTTAATTTTAGGGGAAAGCGTAATAAGTTTTGATTCATTCACGAATAACTGAGAAGAGTATCTTGACATGTCAGTTCTCTGAAATATAACGGAGAAATGTTTAAGATTTACAAGGAATTTTACCTATATGTACATATGCATGAAAGAAACACATTATTAATTCCAATTTTGGGGAAAAACGGTGTCACTGTCCCGTGATTCCACGTTACACCGTACAGGTAAGGTTAGGGCATTGGCATAATGCATTATCAAGCAAAATTCCAAAGCGGCAGGATGTGTATTGATATTGGAAATACATTAGAAGATACAGATTTACCAAAATTTCTGACCATACAAGGTTAACGAATCAATAAACAATGAAAAAAGGCTGTGTGACCCAATGAAGTATTGCTACGTCACAGAGGTGCTTAAGACCCGTCGGCTCTTCCTCAAAATTGTGTCTTTCCAATCCGCGGCTAACATAATGTACATGAAAGTATCATTTACTACGTTTAATATCTACCTTAGTTTATGCGCTCCTGTTTACGGATCGGTTAAATTGTTGATTATGCCCATTCTACCTGCTAACTGCAGATTTACTGGAGGATTGTAAACATATATATAAATAATTTATACACTCACACAACTTCACATACATGCTACTAACATTTGATATGAACTTCCGTGATAAATGAATTCTAGAGCTTGCCTTATGGAACGATCGTCATTACGTAGAATCATGGAGCAATTAACAATTACTGTTGATGGTAAATAATATACTAACTTTTACACAATTAATATGTTAACACTAAATATAATTATATATAAAAGTAATATTTATTAATTATTATTTTGAAAACTCAAAGATTGAACTTGAGGATGGAACGCTGCGTATGTGTTATACAGAAGAACAAACAGGTTAGTTACGCTAAAGTATCTTCCTCGACTAACATGCTAGCCTAATCTAAGGAGGGGCTAAATGAGACAGCCCGCGCGAATGTCGCTCAACTGTACGAGAGAGGAGAAAGGTGGTTCAGTCATGTTATCCTAATATTTCGCGTCTTGTGTGCGGGATGTGAGCACGCACCGCATTTTAATGTAAAGAAAATGCGTAGGCATACTTGTGCATACATGTTATAATCCATGTAAAAAGTAATAAATATATATGTTAATTTGAAAGATATAATAACTCTTTTAAAGAATGTAAAGAAAAAAATATGAATAAACTAATAATTTGTAACGAATTTACTATAAACAAATTTTACTCTTTTTCTATCAATGATTGTTTTACGAAGATTTTATAATATAATATAATATAATAATAAAATCATATATTTTTTAAATTTCAGGTAAATTAATAAAATAAAGATACATTCATATTTAATTTTAAAAAAGGAAAATATAAATATAGTTTCATTGACCCCGACGTGATTTGAACACGCAACCTTCTGATCTGGAGTCAGACGCGCTACCGTTGCGCCACGGAGTCCTTTTTTCGACTAAATGATATTTATTAAAATCGGAAATAAAAAATATATAATAAAAATCAATATTTATTTGCATTTTAAAACAATGGATTTAAGAAAAATGTAATCTATTTAAATATATTTAAGTAAGTACGTATCTACTTGATTTTTGTAGAATAAGTACAAAAAAATCTAATATTGATAGTTATTTTATTTATCGAACGTATATTGTAGATGGACCGTTTGTATTAACTGAATCACTCAGACATTCAGTCTATGTTAAAGTTTTGAAATTTATGTTTATCTTCTCCACTCTGTAGCTAGCTCTTCTAGAAATGTTCTTTTTTTAAGTTTAAGATAACCTAACATTGGACTTGCCATCCTTAACCTCATTCATACCATCAATGAAGTCATGCAATGTCTATTCATATACCTCATCTATGTTTATGCTAAACAAAATCTCCATATCCAATAAGTACGTGTTCTTCTTCAGTGATACTTTTGCTAACTATACAAATATCTACGATAAATTGGATCTCGATAATCCTTAAAGTACGTCATCAATAATGACATCATTAACATATTAATTTTATTTCTAACAGATTTTAGAAAGAAATCATTAAATCATTAAAAAATCATGTATATAATTAAATATACAAAAATATATCAGGGCTGTCAGTTTTGTAAAAAGTACAGAAAATTTTATTTGTATAGCTTATATTAAATTATATTTTACGCATATAAAGATAAATGAATGTAATCGGATATCTTATGTATCTATCCATAGGGTGTGGCTTGTGGTGGCATCTTCAGAATGAAACATTTATTAGGCTAACATGTTATTTAGAAGCAGTGTCATAGTGAGTCGGTAAAATAGAAAACCACATGGCATAAAAGATAAACAGTCATTTTACTATTCCGAGTAATAAAGTTCATGAGAGATATGATAGATGTCGTTGATTGCAGTAAAGAAACAACCTCTTTCTAATACGTAATTTCCTGATAGGTGTGAACCACGGCGCCGCGTGCCGACGCAACCTATTGGACCTTCAAGGGAGTTGCTACCACTATCTTCCATTAATTATGTGTCGCTGATTCGTGAAGGTTAGTCAGAATTCACAACTTATTATGTATTAAAATATAACAATAAGGCAAAAAAAAAAAAATGGCAGCGGTGGGATTCGAACCCACGCCTCCGAAGAGACTGGTGCCTTAAACCAGCGCCTTAGACCGCTCGGCCACGCTACCAACCATGAGTAACATTTTCATACGGAATAATATAAGTGCTGTTAATAATGCTCTTAAAATAATCACATTTTATATACAATATTTAGTTATTGTATTTTTCGTAGTTGAACTTTGTTTTATAGCACATCGAATTTGTGACTTTTATCTATGACTTATGATAGTTTTTAACGAATAGAATCCAAAAATACAGGTGAGGTTTGTATTTAATTAGTTTAAAAGTTATACGTACTTACATAAAGTTTATGTATACTGTATAGTTGCTTAAACATATGTTTGAGCATGCAATGTTCGATTCTGCATTATCAAGAGTTCGATTAATGGAATGAATTGGTTGAGTCGAGTTTAATCATTATTATTAAGATATGTGTTATCGTTGAGTACGAAATTGGCGCCTTCGCGAAAGATTAAATACGCAAGAGAAGTCGGTATCATGACGACGACTTTATCGATCAAATTCAATATGGCGTACAAGTAAATTGTGCAATATGTATAAACTTCATATTGTAGTATAACTTTTAAAATAATAATCGCTGTGCCTTGAACTTGGAACTTTTGGATTCTATTCAAAAATTATTATATGATTACAAAAATAGATCACAAATTTAGTTTGCCCTACGAAGTTCAACCCTCCCTTCTCGCTATTCATTTCATCATCTATGCATATTTATTCTATTATAGAAATGTATGAAAAAGTATCTCCAAAAAGAGATGTTTCTAAGCAGAATTAGGAAAGTGTGTTACATTAATTCCAACAGAAACATGACGTTCACGTGATTCTTTCGAAAACACTTTCTAAAAGATACCGACGGAGATGTTCGTGTGTAAATTAGGGTGGGTGGTGAGTAAGTGGTCCATATATAGAAGCGCCCCCACATTCACCAATACGAACGCACACCTGTCACGCATATATACGCAGCACGAGGGCCGAAGCGCACACTTTTTGAGCTTGAGTTGCTTAAGCTCTATCGACTTGTGACGTCTCCACGTTCTCGGAATTATAAAATAATAGTTGAAATCAGCATTCATCATGCCTGGACGTCCGCTTTGGCAGGTAAATTATGTTTAAAAAAATTTTCATTTTTATATACCGATATCATCGCATATTTATACATGTTCGCGCTATTGGAGTAAGGACGCTATGAAGTTGCCCGCGCCAATTCACTTAACCTTTAAATTGCAATTCACATTTGACTATTGATTTTTACTAATCAAACGATCTTTTGCGTCGTAAGTATGAATTATCCGTGTCAGCTTGTAAAAGAGTTTTCCAACTTTATATTCTATAACTTGCGTTTCTTAAAATTACTGTACTTACATACATTGTGGCATGCGATTAATATTATTCAATTATTCATTCAAACGTATGACTTTGTTTACGCCGCGATTTGAATCAAAATTATGCGTGAGTTGTAATTTCAAGATATTATTAATCAAACATTCCGAAACAATTTCGAAAAATGGAATATTTTATACAAACACGCGATAACATTGAAAAACACGAAAGAAATATTGATTGCTTAATATATACTGAAAATCCATCTATTTCAAACGTCTGACTCAAGACACATTTTCGCAATACTTTTTACAAAATTTTCGTTGAAGTGTTTCTAATTCTGTAGAGATTACAAACTATGAATCATTCATTGCATCGTTATCTACTACATCAGGTACACTATTTTAATTTATACTCGAGCACATTTCTACATCTCATTTCTCATAGAATTTTCAACGACAATACAACATCTCGATCAGGTTATCGGATATCGTATCACGGGATATAAATACTCGATACGTTAATGCGATATCATAACGTGAGTCCAGCATTGGATGTCTGCTGCTGGTATACCGCGGACATCCAAAAATAACGTAAAGGCTTGCCAAGCTAAGCAAAAGTTTG